CTAGTTACTTTGTAGCAGGGTTGAAAAAGAAAGAAGCCAGATTTCCAAGAGATTCTTGCCTGTCATTCCACCGTGATTCAAAAGATTTCAGCCCTAGTTCTGTCTCCCAGTTACCCTGACCCTCTCAGCTGCTTAAATAGCCTTGCACATGCTATTTCCTCTGTTGAGAATGCTCTCTCTTTTTATCCCTGTACCCTGGTTCCCCTGGTTGTGGCGTCTCAGCTCACAGGTTATTTCCTTAGGGAAGGTTCCATCATCCCACAGAATACCAGTTTCCCCTGTACCTGCTTCCACAGAACCTTACTTCTTCACTTTGGAGTACTGATCTCCATTTTAATGTGACATTTATACTTGTGTGTGTTTTTTTTGTTTCTGTTTTTAACATCTGTCTCCCTCTACTAGCCCATTAGTTTCATATCAGATAGCATGGATCTGTGTTTGCTCAGAGCTGAGAATCCATTGGTAACAGGATGCTTAGCAGATAATAGGTGCTCAATAAATATTTGTAGAATGACTTGATCCATCATCCTTGTGACTCACAGGGAGGGCTCTCATGATGACATCAAGCTGTCCACGTTAAAAAGACCATGCACATCTTATCACAAGGATTTATCAAAATCACCATGGATTTTTCTCTCTCTCTTTTCTAAGACCAGAACAAGTTAGCATATAGGGTGAAGGGTCCCATGCACCACATTACTCTGCCAGAATTGCCAGGGAAAGTCAACGCTGGAGGTCCTGGGTGATGCAGAATGCTCAGTATGTAGGTATTTTATGAACAAGCTCTGAACCACCTCGGTCCACAGAGAACTAGAGGCAGGAGTGGAGTCTGTTTGGCTGGTATTTGTTTTTTCAGAAATTCGGAAAGAAGTTTTCTGGTCTCCTTTGTCCCATAAGCACAAACATTAAGTTTGCAGATGGACTGGAAAATAGTGGCAATACCACCTCACTCTGCTTCATACCACTGGTAAGAGGGACACCCTCCACAGAGGGGGCCCTGCAGCCTCCTCAGAGGAGTTGTTTTAATAAGTTAACCTATCCACTATCACTGCCTTAAAAGAAAGGCTTTTAAAATCAATACGCAGAAACAATGTTTAAACTACGCAGCTGGTCTATAAAATACCAATACGAAAGAGAGAACGTGTAAGCAATGCATTATTGAAAAATGCCACTTGTATTAAATCTGATTGAGTTTATATTAGTATTATAAATGCCTCCATTGTTAGGTGAATTTTTCATTCATTTATTCACGCAAAATATTTACTGAGCAATTCCTAAATGCAGGCAGTGTTCTAGGTTCTGTGAATATATAGTGAAGGACAAGGAGACAAAAACACTTTTCTTTGTAGAACTTGCATTCTAATAGGAGACAAACCATAAACAAGATAAAGTATAGAGTATATAAGATAACGATCACCAGGAAGAAGAAAAAATAAAGCATAGTCCAAGAGTATGAAATATCGGAGAAGGGACAGTTGTATTTTAGACAGAATGGGACAGGGAAGTGTTCTCTACAAATATGACTTTCAACCTGATTTTAATTCAACAGGAAATCTACAGGCTTATGTTGCTTTTGACTAAGGGTACCCTTAGTCATCCTACACTATCCCTATAATGTTGCATAAACCGTTCTGTCCAACTGGGGCACCTAACTTGCCACTCCACCCCACCCCACCAAGCTAAGTGACAGTCACTCCTCAAGACACACCAAAACATCACGTCCACCCTAAGCAACCTGGGCCAATTGAATGGGCCCTTTCTTTGGGCACACAGAGTCTTGTGCTCACCTAGTGATGTAATTGTCAGTTTGTCCACCACTCCAACTACACAAACACACATACACGCACGCACAATTAAGAATACAATTATAACAATTACTATGTGCAGGCACTATGCATACCTCATTTTATTTGTTCTTATATACTCTCATTTATCTTTTTTGTATAACCCTTGAAGAGCTTTAATAACTTTCCCAGAGTTAACACCCAGAAAGTGGCAAAGCCAATATTCAAACTCCTGGAGAATGCATCTCTAAGGCTTAGTTCTTTCTCTGCATCCAGCTGCCTACCAATAAAGTAAAAACTGACAATAGATGACGTAAGGGTATATGTGAAGCTCTGGGGAGCCAATCACTCAAAAACTGGCTCTGCCCTTAAGCTTGAACTCAGTCTGCCAGGCCCGAGGCCCCCACCACGGTGACCTGCAGGAGGGCTTTTTAAAGAGCAGGTATGCCCATAAGTAACTAATACTTCTCAGCCAGTTCCCGGGGAGAAGCTCAGCAATGAAGTGGTTTAGAGTCGGATCCGGAAGAGCGTGCACAGAGATAAAACATTGTTAAGCACCGGTGGGCACCCCGATAGGGATCATCCCCACATTCAGCCTGACTCATAATCTGAAGCAGTCACCTGAAATGTATTTTTGGCTTCGCTACAACCCAAGATCCTCAAGGCTAAGCTGTAATAATTCAGGAGGATTTTCTTTAAGGGGAAACACGTATGGTTGGAAACTTTTGCAGAAAAGTTCTTCAGAAAATTAGTTTAACTTTGATTTAACAATTGTTTGGGAATTGGCCGTAGTAGGGAGCAGGGAAAGAACTAACTAATAACCACAGTCATCAAGACTCAGGAGCATTTGGCCATTTCCAGATTCTAAGGTCCGCCAGCAACATTTCTGTCATTCAAAGAAGCATGAATTTCTTCAGTATTATTAAGTCACAAAAGGATGCTGAATGCCTGGCTGTTTGCCTCTATCTCTATTACTTCATTTAAAGGATGGAGGTGAAATTAGTCACCAGATTGTATGAATCCAAAACAAACTCCAATTTAATTATTTTTTCTATTCACATAAAAGTGGAAAGTTATTCCGGGCATAGAGTGTTTGGTTATTTATATTATATAAGACATAATCAGAGTGTTACACCTTCAAAAGGAATTAACTAACAGAAACAGGGAGAAAGTACTCATCAATTATGTACGTATGCATGTATATCCAGAATTTCATATTATGACTTGCCTTAGGGCTCATTAAAGAAGTTCTGAATATTAGAAAGTAGGAATTTAAGGACTTTGCATTCTATGTTCTATAACTCTTAAGTGCAAATTATAGTTTAAACACATGGTAGCTAGTTACTAAGATGTAATGGGATACCGTGAGTAAAATTATTGCCTTGGGAATTCCCAACGTGATTCAAACTCAGATCATTTACTAGCTCTATGATCTTGGTTTGCTTTATTAATCCATCTAAGTCTCTGTCTGCACTTACAAAAAAAGACAATGCGGGTCAAGAAGCCCATATTCAAAACCCACTGTGCCAGATGTGTTTTGGAATTCAGACGTTTTCACATTTAAAAACATTAGGATATATAAACTGTACAGTAAGCAATACTCTCAACAGGGTCTGGGCCGGCACCCTGTAATCAAGCACGTTAACATTTCTCCTGGGAAATATGTGAACAAGTCACAGCAATGGGATGCATTATGACTAGAAATACTCTCAAGTCAGTTCTGCTACCTGAGTTTGTATCAAGCATACAAAAAAATCTTTCAGAGATTTTTGTATTTTGGACTTATGAAAAAAGGAGTGTAGACCTGATTTATACACATATTATTTGTATATGTGTGTATAAGTACACACATATACGCACACGCATATACAGAAAGAGGGAGAGGGAGCTATTGTTAGAATCAAATAGGATTGTGCTCACAAAGTGTTTTACAATAGTGCTTAACACATAATGAACACTCAGTATTGGCCAGAATGCCATGGAGGCATGGATCATCATTTTGTTCATTGATATGCTCCTATGTGCCTAGAAGAGTATTTGGCACAGAGGAAGGGTTCACTAGAAATTCATTGAGTGATTCATGATATCGCCTCATCCAAGTTTCCTTCGTCCAAGTAGAACTATATAAAATGAGAAAACATAATCCTTGGGGAGGCTCCTTTTGCTTTGCCAGACAATGAGGTAGAAGCAGGAAGGCAGTCAGGAGCTCCCAGTAAAACACAAAAGAGTGAACTCAAGTCTTGAAGATCAATATCTAATTCCCCTCCTACTTTTCTTTGAAATCACTGCATTTGGGAAATGAATAATATTGGCATGATTCACTTCTGAATCTGATTTATCAGGAAACTCAGCCTTTGGCAGGCTCATAATTGGAATTCTACCTATGATGATGGCGTGCGTCAAAGTTAACAGAGGCTTCTGAACAGTTCTGAGGAATAAACATGTACAGTCTTCAATAACCCACAGTGTGATTTTGGAAAGCAGGTAGCACTTATCTACACAAGGAACATTTGTCTAACCTGCCAGCGACAACAAAACAGATGTAAATGTAGTCTAACACATGCACGTGTGTGCACACACACCACTAAACTAAAATTTTGATTTTATACATTTGATTCCATCTAAGAATGAATGAATTAGTTTTCTATTGCAAAATTTATAGAATTACAGTACAAAGCACTGTTTAGCATCCACTCGAAGAATTTCCCTTCCTCCATCCTAGCTTAATGACTGAAACAACAAACAAGCAAACAAAAAATGAAACAAAAAAGGAGAAAATCTAGCTGCAATTGGAGATATATGGCCTCAAAATAAAATGAAACGAAATAACATCTTAGGAATCGAGGTGGTAGTAATTCAAACCGAGGAAAAACGCACACCTCTTCCAAGTCCTATAAACTAGAGAAAAGGTTTGGCATGCAGATTTCTTGTATAAAATGAGAAAGAAAAGCTTATTTGTGTGTGCATTATACAAGTGTTATTGTAGCTCTGATGGAGTGGAAGAGGTGGAGGAGATGAGCTTCTCCCAGAGGAGTAGTTAGTCTACACTTAAAACTGTTACTATGAGATTATTCATATTCCTAAGGAAACCAATAGATAAACTAACTGGACTAAAGCACTTACAGCTAAGTGTGTTAACAACTGTGACAGTCAGACGTTTAAGATCTAAAGACCAAGAACAGATCCCGAAATTGAGATCTTAAAAACAAAGCTTACCCGGCCAACAAGAATCGGTTCAGGTCCAGAAAACTCTTCCAGGACAAACATTTGATTCCAAACCCAGCCTCTTTTGGAGCGGTTCAAAATTCGCTGTTCTTCACTCAGCCTGTTTAGTTCCAAAGGGGATCCACTCATTAAAACTTGAGACTGATTCATCGGAGCCATGTAAATGCAGGGAGGAAGGGCAATCCATAATATTATTAATGGAGTCCAGAGATCCAAGAGCATTTCCGCTAGCCGTTCTGGCATGGTCCCACCAGTTAAGCAAATCACCACGAAAATGAGACAATTATTTTTTTTGCCTCCGGTCTGCAGCCATCCAATTCATCATGCAGTGCCGAGCATTTACTTACAGCTCTGCCACGTGTTTATAGCACAGGAAACAGACATTGTCTAAACAGTTTTTCTAAGACCACCATCTATTGGCTTTCCTTTTCATTGAAATGTCCTGCAAAAACAAGGAGGAAGAAAGATAAATGTCCACTGCAACAGGTTTTAAAACAAAATCACCTGCTTTTTGAAAGCAAGTAAATGAACAACAGTAGGCACTTCCCAAACTCTTGGATTAAGAAAGTGGATCAGAGGAATTAGAACAAGTAGGCTAATAGGTTCTTTTATTCAAGCTTTATTTAGATTTTACTATTAATTAATTTAGTATTAATTTTCTATCTGTGTCACTTATCAAAAACTGTTCAAGTAATAGAAATTCTCTTTTCCCTCCTTCCTTCTTGCCTTCCTCCTTCCCTCCCTCTCTTCCTGCCTTCTTTTTTGCCTTCCTCCTTTCACTCTCTCCATCCTTCCCACTCTCTCTTTCCTTATATTTTTTTTCTATTTGTAATGCAAGTTGGGGTACATACTAATGCAGCCTTCTTATACTCTTGTAGAGGTTGCAAGTCTCTTTCTTTCTTTCTCTCTCTCTCTCTCCCTTTCTTTCTTTCCCAGTTTAAAGATGGGTTCTAGTTTACGCTGAGCTATGTAAAGAAACTAGCCTTTAATAGCTAAAATTTAAAAAAAAAATTTTTTTTTAATTTACAAATGAGAATGGAAAGGGAAATTTCCCTAGTTTTTACAGTCTTAGCTGCCACAACCCATCAGAAAGGATCTTCCAGTTCAGGGTGCAGAATGCAATTCTCCGCCAAGATGCTAATAATGAGTGAATAAAATTAGAATGCTCCCAGAGAGAAATTCTGTAATGTCCAGCATGTATGCTATAATCAGGGCAGTGTCAAGGCTCCCATTCTAAATGTACAGTTGAACAGGAGATTTAAATTATGAAAAGCTCCTTTGGGAATGAAATACAGTAAAAATACAATTTTCAACTGAGGAGATTCAGAAAGGGCTGGGCCAAAAAAATTCCCCATTACCAGAGGTGTCAAATACATTTTTTGCTTACCTTCAGTGTGGCAAAATGTGTTTCTCCCCTCTCAAAAAAATTATTTTTAAAGAAATAATGTTCACTGCAGATCCCAGAGAGAAGCCTTGCTGAATTAGATTAAATGGGAAAATAATTCCTCAGGACACCATTGAGATCGGTTTGGCCCAGGGGATTCATAATGGGGTAGGATACCTTTCACCTCGGTGTCCCTGGTTCATTTCTGGCTCAGAATGGGGAAACAAGAAAGTCATTAACATTGGCGGCTGGTGAGTGGCCTTAGTGAAGCCAGCTGAAAGGGGCAGACCCGGATTCTGCTGCAAATATAGGCAGTGTCTGATCTAACAAGATGGCCGGTGGAATCGCCCTGCTCGTCATCTTTTTCCTGGGCTCAGCTCAACCACTAGGACTCTGGACCCCCAAAGTGGCCCCCCACTCTGATGAGTGCACAGTGGAGCCACTGCAAGTAGCAGTTGTTTTAGGAACTGAAGAGAAGAAAAGCTTTCAATAGGGAAGCAGCTCATGGAAGAGTCCAGAACCACGTCCTCTACTTTCCCTAGAATTGCAGCCCTTGCAGAGAAATCAGGCCTTCCTTTAAAACTGATTTCCATTAAGACTTTCTCAACCCAGTGTGAGAGCAGACCTTTGCAGGCTTCAAACTTAAAACACCACAAAATTCAAAGGGTCTCAATAGGGAATCCCAAAGTATTAATATCTTTCTGAATTGCCAATGCACTGATTTATTTAAACAGTGTGTATAGCACGCCCATCACATGCCATGCTCTCTCCTAGACGTGGGGCCAGGATGATGCTGAAGGAGTATTGCATATGCTGCAGTGCCTGTTGTGGAGGCAGATAAACCTGAGTTTGAATCCCAGCTCACCCCACTGGCTGTCTCTGTAACGATGGATGAGATACTTAAGTCCTCTGAGCTTCAGTTTTCTCTCTGCAAAATGGCAACAACAATAATTCCTACTTTCCAGGCCATAGGGCGATTCAGAAACAAGACTTATGTAAAGCGGCCAGAACGTGTGAAGCACTCACTAAGCTATGGTTCCTGTGGTTTTCCTGAGCCAGACTCTGAGGGTGGTGTTGACATGGTCCCTGTCCTTGAGAGGCTTTGGTAAAAAAGTCAAATGAATGAGCAAAGAAGTAAGCTGCATGACCTCTGCAGTAGGAATAGGCAAGGTAACGAGAGTGACACACAGACACTCAAAAATCTTCCCTAAGTGGTATGTGGGAGGATGAGGATGATGCTGGTGAGGGACGAGCTGGACCATATTACATGGAAGGTGAGATTCATTCTAGTCACAGAGCCTCAGCCTAAACACTTCTGAGAGAAAAGGGACTTATTTTCTCCAACTATACCAGGATAGGCCATACCTGAATGTTCAAAAGCCACGGATGCCGTTCTCCACTGGCCTGAATGCTATAGAGGCCGAACCCTGAGATGGCTGTGAGACTTTCCTCTAGGGTCAGTCTGCCTGGGGTTTGAATTCTGGTTAAGGAACTACACTTACCAGTTGTATAACTGGGGGCCAATTAACAACAACAACTATAATAATAACTATCTAACATATTTATTTTGAGGATTAAGAGATAATCTTGGTAAAGCAATGAGGAAAGGCTAGAATGTACAGTTATTTTTATATTGTGCCAAATACTCTGCAAATATACTCTGGCATCTGCTCTGCTGTTAATGATTCTGGGATAAGGAAGTTTAATCCCAATTTAAACTCATAATAGACATTTCCTTGATGGAAGTCACCAAGTGGCACTCAGGATGGAATGTGACATGATTGGTGCCCTCTCTGAACTCCCCAGAATCAGGCAAAAAGTGATAATAGACCCTTAAACAATTTTATACAGTGACTTAGCTTCATTAATTAGAATGAATGGATTAATAAATAAAGGACTATATGCACAGCCAAAAATAGTATCCATTAACACAATCTCTTACAGTTAGATATAGCTTACTAAGCCTCACACTGTTTTGTTCAAAACAGAGGCACAAAATAATAAAGTGACTTGCCCAAAAGCACCTCCAGTAAAGAGCAGACCATTAGTTGAATCTAGGTAATCTAACTCCAAAATTCTCTTTCTTAACACATACCGCCCCCTCTCGTTATATAAATATTGGATGAGCATATACTGTGTGTCAGGCACTGGAGATAGAAAGGCAAACAGGTCAGAGCTCTTATCTTCAAGAAGTGAAGAGTTTAACAGGGGAAGACTAAGAAATACATGCTTACAGTATTAAGTGAAACATAGTCTGAGGGTTAGAGGAACACAGAGTGATGGGTACGCCAATCATCTTGGCAGAATTAAAGAAGGCTTCCTGGAGGAGGTGTCATCTAAATGTTGAGAAGGAATTACCCAACTGGGGAGAGGGGGTAGGTGCAAAAGGACATGTAAGTCAAGCGATGGACAGAAATAAGACCACCAACTAATCCAGGACTTCTGAATGAATCAGCACCTGGGGTAGTTTTCAAATCTTTACTTACTAGATCATCCAATCCATGCTCACAGCATCTTCTCCCTACCCACCAAATTCATCCTAGTCATAGACTACAGAGAACACATCAAATAGGGTGTCCTCTTCTCTGTCAGTTCTTTGTGACGAGAAGAGCATGTTTGATTTCTCCAAAGCTTTGGGAAATAAATATAGGTGCCATCGCATGGAGAAAGCATGGGAGACAGATGAGTGCTATGCCAATCCAGCTCCTCATTTTTCAGAGAAAGGGGAGTGACTTGGTTAACGTCCAGCAGTCAGTGGCAGAGCTCCAGGGAGAAATTAGCCCGACTCCGTGGAAACCCTTCTTCATCCATAGGGGTCCTTCCCACTACTCCCCCTGTACAGAGCTTCTAGCACCTGAAACACTCATATACCCCCTTGTCAAATTTTGCCAAGTTCTTGAGTCACTTGTACTATTACTTTACAAATTATTGAAGTAGTCTCAGTTTTGTAAATATTTATTTAAAAATGGAAAAAATATTCTTTGTCACAAAAAGATAAACAGTGAACGCTTAGAAAGTGTTTGAATAACAATAAGTCATCAAGGAAGACTACATATAAACATGTATATACCTACATTATATGCATACACACACACATAGGTAGGTATGTATTCATAGCTACTATTCAAAATAACCCTATGATGTAAATATTATTATTACTTTATTATCATCATTCTCATTTTAGAGATAAACAAACTGAAGCACAGAGAGATTGGGATTTTAAATAATGTTTTATTTTCACTTAACTAGATACTGTCATAGCCTGAGGTCTTCTCTCTCTTTGCTAAAAAGGAAGACTAGCAACAGTTAGTGGCAAGAATGTGCTGTTAAATATTTAACAAGTGGCTCTCTGAAAGAAAAAAGCATCCCTGATTTCTGATTTCCATGATATAAATACTTCCATCTCCACCAATTTTGAGCTTTCAGTGTGACCGTTAACCAGCTCAGAGAATTCCTGAAAATTTAACAATCAGCTCTGGTAAGAACAGTGAGAGTGACCTCCAGGACACCCCTTGAGGGATGCTTCTCAAACTTTAATATGCATACAGATCACCCAGAAATCTTGCTAAAATGCATATTCTGATCCAGTAAATCTAGGCTGGGGCCTGGGACTTTGCGTTTCTAATCATCTCTCCTGTGATGTAGAAGCTACTGATTTGAGGACCGCAGTTTGGGAAGCCTGGGGTTCCAGAGAACAAGACCAGCTCCCAACTCAGACCTTCTCCATAAGTTGACTTGTAGGATTCAATCGTGTGGTGGGAAAGTCACTTCCTCTTCCTCGTCATTTAATGCCATGCCCATGCACTTCTTATCATCGTGCATACAGGAGTACGCACATATATCAGACTTTGGGAAACCCTGCACTGGAGGGTTTTGTATGATGTCATAATATACTTCCCTCACCCCATATCTACTTTATGCGTGACACTGGGAAAACTGCCCAGCTAACTGTTGTATTTCCAGGCACATGCATGCTATCAGAGAGTGGTGAGACTTGGCCTTCACTCCAGCAAAGTCTGCCACTTGGAGAAAAATGGGATTCTACTGTGACGATTAGA